TCCAAAATAAATCAATAAATCAATAAATAAACACCACACTTTTACAGTACGTGAGACTTTACTGTAATATGCCTTCTTATGGAAGCATTCCAAGATATTAAAGGGCAAATGATAGGTTTTTAAACATCACAAATTCATGCTTAAAAAACGAGATTAAAACCCAGGTTGCTTCGTATGACAGGTTCTAGTTCCATATTCAACCCAGAGTTATAAAGGTTTACACCTTTCTTGTTTGTATGTTCTTCTCAAGCAAAGGCAATTCATTTGCTGTTTACAACCATTAAGGGAACATTAGTAAACTTTCCTTTTCCTACTACGGGCAGTACACCTCAGTCAATACGGAGACATCATTTCTTTATCCAGAGTTCACTGTCAGGGCTGCCCTGTTGGTGATGGTTCTGTCTAATCTCGAATACCTCCATCCGAATGGATGATAAGCTTTCCACCCGAATGGGTTATTAGCTTTCTCTATAAAACTCACATACAAGAAAGGATTTAAAATTGGCTCGTATAAATGACAATAACACAAAATGAATAAAACAATAATAAAACATTAGAAACCAGAGGTAAGATGAGAAAAGCAGTGAGAGAAGAGAGAATTGTGTGAACATGGCTGAAAGCGTCTGCTTTCCTCAATGTCAAATTCTGAGATAGCATTCCTTTGGCAAATTTCTCACATAAACCAAACCAAAGGGACTCAGGATGGTAGGCCCGAAGCGATGCATTTGCCAGTTATCTTCTTACATTTCTAGATGTGAATGTTGAACAGAAATAAGTCAGGAGGGCATGGTGGCTTCATGAGATTCCCTGGTCTACGACCCATATTATTACATTATTCTCAATTATAATTCCAGAAAGGTCTAATCAAAATATTTCATCATAAGAACTTTAAGGAAAAACTCAGAGAATCTCTGTCCTTGACCTTTCACAGGAAGAGCTGTAAGTTAAAAGTCTGATTAAAAAAAAAACTATAAGATAAATAACTACATAGTTGTGACACATTTGCATGATCCCAAATGGCAGCTTGGGGGAGTTTAATTATGGTTATGGTGTGAAAAACTGTGTTTAGAGGCAACAGGCAAGCTAAGGGCAGTGAAATATTCCTGGCTCCAGAATGATATATCAGTCTGTACAAAGAAACTATGGTCGATTAGAACAAAAAGAAAACTTGGAAAAACAACAACTCCCAAAGTTTTTCACACAGGAATCGTTCTCAAGAGCAAAAACATCGTATGTAGACTTTTGCTTCAAGGTTGTTCTACTTTATTAAAACCTGCATATATTCCACTTACAGATCTAGGTAGAACAGAATGCCTAGAGATTCAAGGAGTATTCTTACTCTCCATTACTATAAGGAAAGTAAGAGTATTTGTATAGTCACAGAAATGCTGGTGTTATTTCCAGTTAAGTGGGGAATCATGTTTGTGTCCTTAAGATATCTGATAAGCAATAAATCATGAATTTAAAAAATAAAGAGGCCTTTACATTTTAGATTTTATTCTAGGGGTGATTTCTTAGGAAGCTGTATGTGGAAGGCTGAGATTTTTCTTAGGGGGCTAAATAGTCAATATTGACATTGTGTTCCTTTCTCGTGATTTACCATACGTACGCTGTCCCGGAGATGATTAGCCAGTAACAATGCCACCTCCACAGTGTCCCAGGATTTCGTTGTTGTTGTTGCTGTTCTATCCAGTCCCCAAATCCCAAGGCCATATTTGCTAATGAAATGATATAATGCTAAATCCCACAGAAATAACACAGGGCATAGTTACTTGTGTAACAACTTCTTTAACAAATAAGATCAGAATGGAGGCAAGTAATACAATAGAGTCACTAGGGCTGATGAAAATGAACTGAAGTGGGTAAATAAAATGTTCTCTGGCTACATGTCTAGCTAAGAGTGTGGAGTCCCCTACAGCGTGGGGTCTCCGAGGGCTTAAATTGCTGAGTAGAAAAGTGGGAACACTGGTTTTAAGAACTCTTCTACTTCTTTTCAAAGTAAGTTTTAGTTAATAAAGTTGACTCCTCATAAACGACCCCCACCAAAGCTTCAGAGTTTCAAACCCAGTGTTGTTGAGAAGCAACAGAGAAAAACGATTTATTTGAAGGGTTGGCATATTTAAGCTCTTTTAGAGAGGGATATTTCGTGCATATGTGTTTTGTTGTTACCAATATCAGAATGAGGGAGGCTTCCTGATTAGGGTGTGGGAAATGAACTTGGGCTGAGGATCAGGAACAGGTAGGTGAAGGGAAGTGTAAGGAAAAATGCAAATTGGCTTCAGTGAGGATCAACTGAGTTTTGAGCTGCTCTATGTTTAATGGCTTTTCGTTACGGAATCATGCTGCGTACATTCTCCATCCACACCCCGCATAGTACAAAGGCTCCTGCGTGGTGCATATGGCTAAAAATGAATCCCTTATGTCTGCTCTACAGTCTATGGATTCAGTCATTTAATTAATAAACTAATTTGGTTCCTTTCGGACATTCTCCTAAACTTATTTGTCATTTTGGGAGAAGATTTTTTTTAAGACGTAGTTCCTATATTTTTGAACAAAAGTATTATTTTTAAGTCTGAACAAATACAAGGTAATACATTTCATTTTAATTTTCAAGCAGCCAGCAATAGTAACCATTGCTTTATTTCTTAGACAAGGAGTCACAGAATGTTAGGGTGGAAGAGATTTTCAAAGTTACAGAGTCAAATTTTTAAATCTTCTCTGAAATCTTCTCCTACTATTTCATGAAAAGCTATTCAGTTGAACATTAGACTGTAGGTTTCATAAGGGCAAAGACCAAGTCTGTTTCATTTGTAACTACATGTATAGCACAGTATATAGTGGCTCATAAACAAGAGTGGAGCAAAGGAACAAAGAGACAGAACTAGATTCCTTTATATGTTGCTGACAGTGTGCTAGGAGCTCAGCATTCAAAGATATACAGCATGACCTTCGCTCTTAGGAACCTCACTGTCTATGGGAAATGTACGTGTGACCGTTGAAGCACGTGTGGTGATCTAAGACACCAGTGAACTGAGGGCCATTTCTTCTGCTCGGTAGGAGCTGGGGTGGGAGACACTCAGGACCAACTCCAAAGACAGATGCCCAATTTGAGCTGGGCACTGAGAGCCAAATAGAAGATCACCAGGCACGTAAGGTAGAGGTAATCAAAGCCAAGAGCATTGGCAAAGGCAGAGAGTTAAGAAAAAAGGTTTGGGTAAAGGGATGATATGGTCAGAGCATGCGGAATGGCCTGAATGATGGGAGTAATAGGAATTTAAGTCACAGCAAGGAAGAAAAGGGCCACCTGCCTTCTCCATTCATTGGGCTTCATTCTCAGGCAGGCAGTCTCCCACAGGAAGTTTGGATTGGAATCACAAGAGGATGGAGAAGATAGAAATATCAGTAAAGAAACTGTGCATTCATTCAATCATTCACCAAATATTTAAAATGCTTGATCGCTTGTCATGATAAGCCCCGGGTGTTGCACACAAGTGTTGAATCACTATTTTGTACACTTGAAACTAACATTACACTGCATGTTAACTAAGTGGAATTTAAATATAAACTAAAAAAAAAAAGAAAATGCAGTGTTCATGATATGCCAGATACATTGAATGGGGTATGGGATTTATAGATGCATAATACAATCATTTGAGTAACACACACTGGGAGGCTAGAACAGTGCACTGGTTGAAAAGAGGAGAGAAAATAGAAAAGAGACACTCTGAGGTAAAATGAGCAGTCAGGTGCAATCAGTCAAAATGTAGAAGGATTTAAGGAAGAAACTCAAGTTACAAGCCTGAGCAGCTCATTGGATTGAGATTCATTAAGTGAAACAGGAAACATAGAAGAAAGGGCAGGTAAGAGGGGGCAGCGGTAGGGGAATGGCCAAACATGAGAATGAATGAACTTGGTATCAGAACAGCTGCATTTTGATTCTAATGACACGTGGGCAAGAAGACCAGAAAAGACATCCAGACTGGAAATCTACATTTGTCACCGTCATGCCACTTCAAGTTGGGAGCGTTATACAATACAAAGGGAACTGAGCTAAGGTTAGAAAGTGGGGCACACCAACATCGGAAGGGTGGGTAAAGTTTCAGAATTGAGGGAAAAAAGGGAAGAAGAAAAATGTACGAAACAATGTCATGAAAGCCAAAGGGGAAGAGACCTTCCAGGATGAGGCTGCTGGCAGACATGCCAAGTGCAGGTGAGAATTTCACTTCTCTTGAATTTGAACCCGGGAGGACTTTTGTTGCTTTTGACACTGGATGAGTAAATAAAATATGTTTCAAGTTGGTTATGTTTTCAAGCTGGTTTTCATAATGTTACTCATAAATATGTATATTCTTCTTAATAAATACACTTATCATCTTGCTGCCACAAGAGAATTTAACTTTGGTCTCATGGACAGTATTCCAAATATATAATGATATTGCCTAATACCCACAGTGGACTAATACAACTCAAAATTGTATTATATACATTGCCTTCTAAGGGAAGGGCAGAAGTAACAGCCTCAGTTCACAGTACCATAACTCACCCAAGTCATGTAATTTAGTTAGCAAAAAGGCCAAAGCCTAGACTCCTTGCTTTTGATTAAGTGTTGTATTTTTCCCTACTCTGATAGTAACTAGCACAAAGAACACACACATATACACACACACACACACACACACACACACACACACGTAAAATCAGGTCGTTTCCGTACAAATACTTAAATTAATTCCCTAATAGGAAAATCAAAAGGATTGCTTCACTCTGTAACTTTTAAATATTTCATTCCACATTATTAAAGTTAGAGATGATTAGATCACCATCTGCTCTTAGAGAAAATACCACATGCAAGATTGTTTTGAATTTGTGAAAAATCAACTGATTTCTGATGCATAAGGGCCCTATCTTTAACTTTGGGAGAAGAAAATACTTCCCAAAGTTCAGATTAGAACCTCCTTGGAGTCTCTCAAAGGGCCCTGAAGCAAAGGAAGAGATGGTACCTTGACTTTTTCGAGGTGATCTTGGAGAGAGTCAATGAGGAGGTCACCCACAGGCTGCCAGGAGCCCTTGATCACCTCAGCTTGACGTAGCTTGAGGTCAAGCTCATCCGTTGCCTCCTGAAGTTCCTGGAGTCTTTCGAGGGCCTCGTCTATTTTTCTCTGCCAGTCTGCAGAGTGCAGGTTCAATTTTTCCCACTCGGCGTTGACCTCCTCAGCCTGCTTTCGCAGGAGCCGTGTGACATTCTGGGCTCTCTCCTCAGGAGGCAGCTCTAAATTGGTAATATGAAAAGGTTTTAGGCCACATAACTTTTTATTTTGTTTTGTTTAAAAAAAAAATTGTTGAAAAGGTCACACTGGAAGAAAGAAGTACAGGGCAACAAGAAGCCAACCCACTGATTAATGGTTCCTTAATGCCTCGGCATAAATTTTGACACTGTCCAGAACATCTCAAGTGTGTTCTCCTGAGTATAACTGTTCTACCTTCTATCATTCAGATCATCCAAGATTCACTTAAGCCATCAAGTAGAAACATGTTAGGATGTGCACCACAGGCTCTAATTTATTTCAGCCAGGCTCTTAAATGGAAAATTAGCTTGTAGTCTTTATAATGACAGAATTCCTTCTCACAGAAAATCTCCTGTTTACTATTTTCCAAATATATCAATAACTGGTCACGGATTCATCTCTTTTAATGTTTATTTATGAATGTGCAAGCGGATTTATCCACGGTGGTTTAGAGTTCCTTTTTCTTTTCCAACATCTCTGTTTAATTTGAATCGATTCTATTTAACTTAGAAAATATGAGCGCCATCCAGACCCTGGCAGCAAGAATGGGTGGGTTGCTCTGTCATCACTGATCCTTCTATCAATATGTTATTACAGTTCCACATTCGATTACCTCTGGGCTCCTGGTAGAGTTTCTCTAGTCCTTCTAAAGGCTGCTCTGTCAGAAATAGTCGTACAGTCTCAAGAGTACTCATGATTACAGGTTCTTTCGTTTTCAATTCCCTCTTGAAGGCCTGTGAAATGAGATGAAAAGAAATGCTTATTTGGCTTGTGGCATTCTTCTCAAAATTAATCCTGGGTGTTCAGCACTTGGTTATGGAATTCCCAGGTCAATTTCTATCTCCTTTATTTATAAACCGATAGTCACAAAATGATAAAGAAGGCTATATGGATCTTCCCGTGAATCAGGAAACCACTGTGTGTATAAAACTATTCTGGAGAGCATGGGGGAACTTTCAAGATACATTCATGCCTTTTCATTAAGATAAGAGTGATTTATTTTTACAACCCGAGTGCCAAACTTGAAATCTGAAGGCAAAGTTGCAAAATACATATTACAAAACACTAGCAGGGGTAATGGAGATTTCCATATAGCCGCAAGAATAGTTCTTCCAGAACACAGTAGGGAGCCCAAAGGGCTATGTGGAAGAACTTAGGTTGTGCTGAAATATACAACCAGTTCAATCCATAACCATCAGTTAATTCTGTCATAATGTCTGACAACTTATAAAGTGAAATACTCACAGTAAAGTAAAACCTCAGTCCTTTTGAAAAATACCCATTATCTAATGTGACTTCTTTGAGAATGGTAGAAATACTTTGAGGTATAATGGACTTAGGAATTGTGGGAATAAGTTTCTATGGAAGAATAGGCCTAGAAGAGGTCTCTTGGGGTTATCTACACTAGTTATCAATTATAATCTCTAATCTGCAATCTTCATTGATACAGAGGATTAAAAGGAAAGCAAAATACATAGTTTCTGTCTTCAGGAAGCTTCTGGATGAAAAGAGAGAGAAAAGTAACACACTAGAAAGAGAGTAAAAACAGTAAGTTTCATAGGCCATTGAGTGCTAATGGTGGCGAGACAGTGTATGAGGCTAGAATAAAATGACAGATGCTTGGAGATCATCAAAGAGAGTTATTGAGCAGATTCAGCCATCTGAGAAGTGAAGATATTAATAAAAGTATTAAGTACACATAGATGTTAATAGATCAGTGTAAAGACAATAGTAATAATAATTGCTCTGACCTAGGGCTTAATTATTCTTATCTCTTTTCAATTCTGTCCTATTTTTAACAATGTTTTGAATTTAAGCCCTGTTCTGCTACTGAGAGAAGAATTAGCTGCATCTCCTTTGAACTTCAGATATATTGTGTTGTAGGAATGCTCCAGAACTCTATTATATGACACATGTATAAATAAAATCCTCATCATTCAAAAAAATCCTGAGTTCCTTTACAAAATGATTTGTCTTCCACAGTTACTTAACAATTCAGTAGAAAGAGGCAAACTGTTTGATTTTTTAAAAATGCTTATTTATTTTAAGAGAGAGACAGATTGCTAGTAGGGGTCAGGGGTAGAGAGAGAGAGGAGGGAGAATCTTAAGCAGGCTCCATGCTTAGCACAGAGCCTAATGTGGGACTCGTTCCCATGACTGTGAGATCATGACCTGAGCCAAAATCAAGAGTCAGACCCTTAACTGACTAAGCCACTGAGGCAGTCTGAGGCAAGGTGTTTGAATTGAAATAATAAAATTCTATAAGTGAAATATTAGGATTCAGTTTGTGGATGGGGAGGTACTTTCTATACAGTGAGATATTTCTGTGGTGTTGATATAATACAGAGTAGGTATTATAATACAGAGTAGGTGGGTAATTTATTCTGCTTACATGTAAGGCTGATTCTCCCTCTAATACCCCATTTGAAATCTCTGTGTGTGTGTGCACGTGTGTGTATGTGTATCCAGTTCCTGTATTGTTATATTTTCTCATACGTTTAATTTTCCCAACTTCAAGAAAATTATCATTTTTTCTAGCCTCTTCATTTGGACTTGATAGGAAGCAATTTACTCTGGCATTAATAATTATAAAATAATAATGGCTCCATTTATTGAACTATGTGTCAGTAGTTGTATAAGAAACTAGAAATGCAAAGCTGAGTGCAAAACAACCCCTCCCATTTAGAAACCTGTATATAGTAGAAGAGTCAAACACAGAAATAATTTCAATACAGTGTGGAAAGTGCTATAGGTTTGCATCATATTGGAGAGGAAACTGGGAAAGGCTTCCTAGAGAAGACAGTATTCATAAAGAATTCTAAAGCATGAACATGTATTAGCCAGCGAAGTGAAGGTTAGAGGAAGGAGAAGAAAACCAATGAAAATACATGTGTGAAGACAGAAGACATAATATAGCCTGGCAAGTATTATCTACATCTCAAGTTTTCTCAAGTAGGCCAGTTTTCTTTCTGTTTTCTTTTTCTTTCTTTCTTTTTTTTTTTTTTTGAGACAGAGAGAGAGAGAGAGAGAGAGAGAGAGAGAAAGAGAGAGACAGAGGCAGAGGAAGAAGGAGAAAAAGATTCTCAAGCAGGCTCCACACATAGCACGAGCCCAACAAAGGGCTCAATCTCATGATCTGAGCTGAAATCAAGAGTCAGATGCTTAACTGCATCCCAGTGAAGCCACCCCAGGTGCCCCCAGGAGATCAGGAACCTTTGAGAGGATTTAAGCAGGGAAGTGGTGTGGGAATGTGTGTATTTCAAATAGATGTTCCTGACATACATACAGAGTATGCCTTTGAGAAGGGCAGAAATGGAATTAGGCCAGTTAGGAGGCAAATGGAAGAATTTAGTGAAAGATTATGAGGATCTGATCTAGGGCAGTGGTACAAAAAAAAAAAAGATAGAGTAGGGAAATGTTAGAGTGCAGGGGTGTGGGAATTTGGTGACTGAATAGATGCCGGAGATAAGAGAGAGGAAGAAACAAGGAAGACTGGGAGCTTCCAGGTTGAGTAGATGAGTGAATTAAACTGCATTAGAGAAAATAGACTCTCCTGCATTTCTCAGCATACCTATAAAAAGCTCTGGCTCCTGAGAACCTTCCCATACTATGGGAACTGATCTGCAGTCATCTGTCTAGTCAATTTCTCTCACCCAAGAGGATCAAATGGTTAGAGCCCAGAGGAAGTTCCCAGGTTAAGCTCCAAGTTGTCAGCAAGATTGGGGTGGATCTCTCCTTAGGTCTTTACAGCTTGGAAAAAAACCCCAGACCTTGGTGACATTTCCAGTTTTTAAAATCCAAGACACATGGGGCTATCTGGCTCTTAGAAAAGTTAGAGTTAGGACTCAGGCCCTTTATGTTTCCAAGGAGACCCTTTCAGGAGGAGAAGGGTATCCTTTCTGGAGGAGAAGGGTATCCTTTCTGGAGGAGAAGGCTTCCTTCCCCTTTACAATAGAAAAACAATTCTTTCTCCTGGTCTCTGGCCTAGGGAATATGCAGCCAGTCATGTAGAAAAATATTCCATTGGTTCTCACCATTGGCTCTTACCTTACTAGGAGTAAGAAGACTTGGAGCAAAGGCCGTGGGAAGGGGGGAGACAGTGATGACGTTCCCTGTTAGGTAAAAGAAATCAGTCTCTGATCCAGAATAACAATCCTATTTTATTTAAAAAAAATTTTAATGTTTCATTTATTTTTGAGAGAGAGATAGAGACAGCGTGAGCAGGAGAGGGTCAGAGAGAGAGGGAGATAGAGAATCCGAAGCAGGCTCCAGGCTCTGAGCTAGGTGTCAGCACAGAGCCCGATGTGGGGCTCAAACCCATGAACCGTGAGATCATGACCTGAGCCAAAGTTGGACGCTTAACCAACTGAACCACCCAGACACCCCTGATACAGAATACTTCATATACACATTCAGGATAAAATTAATAAACCAACACGAGTATGAGGGGGAAATCTGTCTTGTGATATGCTCAGCTTGGAAAGGTATCATTCCTTCCAGAAGGAAATGAATACCAGAGTCTGATGTCTAGGAAGGAGAAAAGGAGATTCAGGAGTCATTTTCTCAGTTAACATCCACTGAGTGCCTATGATTATGCATAGAGATGAGGATTAAAATGACATAGTACACGAGATTGCTCAGGCAGTAGAGTGGGCTAATGAGAAACTTCTAGAGAATCTACAAAATGTATGGACAGACAGGGGAAATAGATCCCATGGGAGGTCAAAAATGAATGGAATGGATAGGTGGAAAGCATGGGGGAAATGAGAAATGTAGAACTATCAAAGAGAGAGGAAGAAAGTGATGGAGAGCATCCAATCATGACACTCAGAGGTAAAGCCAGACTAGCACTGACAGGTGTTCATTGAGTTGGTGAGAGCAATTTCAGTGGAGGGCAGTAGCCTCAGAAGTAGGCTTAGTTGAGGAGTGAGTAGGGGAAGAAGGAGTATTTTAGATGAGAACAGTGCAGTATTTTTTTTTCTGAGAAAGAGGAAAGGAAGATGGGAAGGAAGACGGTGCAGATTACAACATAAAAGGATGATACATTCTTTTTAGAATAGGAAAGGTTTGAATATAGGGTGAAAGATGGAAGCTACCAGTAGGGTCATCAACCATCCTGGTTTGTCCGGGACTGAGGAGTACTTCATGAAGTGAGACCTTGAATGCTAAACCCAGGACAGTCTCCTGCAAACCAGGCCAGTTGGTGACCGTGGAAGTAAGGAATATATTAATGACCTAGACAAGAGAAAGTGAAGACAATTATTGGAGTGAGGGCTGTCAAAGAAGGAAATGGATCTTAAAGGTCTCATCATATTGACAAAGTCCAAGACACCGTTTGATGTTGCAATTCCATTGTTACAGCTGAACACCCATTGTAAGAGACCACTTGTTTGCCCCTCAAGTTGTTGCCAAGGGCTTAGCACCATCACAGCTGCACAGTTCATTTCTTAAATATGAGTCACTGAGGATTAAAACGAGTCTAAAGAAAAGACAAAGGAAGTTCTGTCATTGCAAAGACATAAGCACCATTATTTTCACATCGTTGTCTGAAATTAAGAAAAGAAAGTGGATAGAAGGGAAGGTTATGTGCTATATCATTAGAATCGGGGAAGATTTAGACTAGATATAAGAAAGGTTAAAAACCCCAGAAAAAAGGGAGAAATAGTTGGTTCAAGAAAATCAGAAGACAAAGAAAATGGTAATGTTTCTCGCTACGTGGAAAAAACCATAAATA